GTCCGTCCGACCGTTTCTACGCAAACTAGTCCCCCAGTTTAAAAGCTATCTTCTATCCAAAAGTTGTCTTTCTATTGCACGACTATAGCTCCCATAGAAACAATCAAGAAATAAATTTTAAAATGGATTTGGTAATATTTAAATACTTGGGAATTACGGTTTTAATTAAATTAAAATCGGACATCTATATCATATAACTCCCATAGGAAAATCAAAAAAAAATTTAAAAAAAATTTATATTGCTATTGTTCTATTTATCAAAATATTTCTTTGAGATATAGTAATAATTTAATATATCAGAATTACGCTTTCAGTTTTGTAAAAATCGGACAACAATATCATATAGCTGCCATAGAAACGAAGGCAAAATGCAGCGCAAAATCTACAAAGCTTCATTGTTTTTAGTAATAATATAAAGTATTCTTGATCAGCATCACCAGGAGAGTCCGTCCGTCTGTCTGTCCGTCTGTCCGTCCGTCCGTTTCTACGCAAACTAGTCCCTCAGTTTCAAAGCTTTCTGCTAAAAAATTTTCCAAAAGTTGTCTTTCTATTGCAGGTAGTATATAAGTCGGAACGAGCCGGATCGGGCGATTATATCATATAGCTGCCATATAACTGAACGATCGGAAATGTTGGGATTTTCCATGGGTTTTATTTTTGGCCAATCAATCGGACCTACCAAATTTCATAAGGATCAGCCGACTATATCCTATAGCTGCCATATAACTGAAGAATTGGAAATGCCATAACTTTGGTGTTTTTAAAGTTAGGATGTTGGGATTTTTTAAGACTTTAGAATGCATCATATGAATAATTTTGTTGAATATAATTTACATAATATTCTGCAAGGGTATATCAACTTCGGCTCCGCCCGAAGTTAGCTTTCCTTTCTTGTTAATATTTTGCTTGTTCTTAGGTATTTTGCAATATCTAAATATGTACTATGGAATTAATATGTATCTATACCATTTTCTGTTTTCTATTTATCAAAATATTCCTTTGAGATATAGTAATTATTTACTATATCAGAATTACGCTTTTAGTTTTGTCAAAATCAGACAATATCATATAGCTGTCATAGAAACAATGGCAAAATGCAGTGCAAAATCGACATAGCTTCATTGCTTTTAGTAATATAGGCATAACTGCACGGGTATATAAATTTTGCCTCATCGAAGTTTGCTTCCTTTTTTGTTTAAATATGCATTTTATAAAATAATTTTTATAATATAAATCAAATATTGTCTCAGATAACAAACATCCCTCAAATAAATGCAAGCTAACGATTAAAAGTTTATACATGTATACAAATGTGCCAGACTAACAGTTTCACCTTCAATGTTGAACTAAATCAAAAAACACCCATCGCTTTCCCATAACAACGTCAATTATGGAAATGAGTACAAGCCTCGTTAATTTTGGCGAAATCGTAGCCAACTTTAACAAAGTTTAACTAAATTGGGCATCAAATAATCGAGAGCCCGTTTAAGCTTACCCGAGGCAGAGCCCGTCCAGCTGCTTTGGCTTTGCCATATTTATGCGGAAAAGTAAACCACCATCGACCATTCACCAGCCATTGACCATATAGCAGTCACCGCATTCAGGAGTTACATCCATGGCAAAGGGGAACCGGGTAGTGAAAAATGGGACTGGGAATGGGACTGGCAATGGGATTGGGAGTGGGCACGGGAGTCGTCATCGGGCCACTGTCGAATGGAAAAGTGGCAACTGGCGAATCGCCCGGTAATAGGATTATGCCTGGGCTCCATCAAAGCCAAAACAACCGCAACCACGCATAATTGTTAAATTTATTTATTTAAGCACGAAATGCGTGGCCATACCCCAACGCAATGCTCGCGCTGAAAAACGCGGGGAGGTGGGCTGCTGGGATCCTGCCATCCATCCTTTCGGCCATCTATCCTTCCATCCCGTCGAACCCCAAAAAGGCCCCGCTTTTGCTCCCGGCAGAACAGCAAACGTTTTTCGGTTTTTGTGGTCAATGAAAAATCGCTTTAAATAATGAATTTTATTTAAATAAATATTTAAAAAGCTGTCAGCGAACTTTTATGGGCTCCAAATGGCTTGGGTGGAGTGTCCATAGGGTGACAATATCAGGATCAGCACCTGGCTGCGATTGATTGGTGTCGGTTAACGCCCCTTTATGTTCGACAATGACCTAGTGTGAAGTAATAGAACTCTTCTGTTCAGTTATTGGGATTTCCTTGCCGGGTCGAATGTGTTCTTCAATAGTTGTGGTTCGACTATTTAAAGAGCTTAAGAAAGTGATAAAACTTTAATCAATATAAAAATACAATTTTCTTAAGGGGTATATACCTTTTTCATTTTCAAAAAATCGAATTTTTTTTTTGCTTCATCTTAAAGAACAACTTCTTGAGAATATTTCCCAAAACTTTCATAGAGATTTGAGCAGTAGAAAAAAAGTTACAGCGCTCCTAGCCGCCCTCCTCGTCCCCGCCCAGACCCAAACTTGAAACTTTAAACGCGAATATCTCGAAATGGTTTTTTTTAAAAATGACTTTGCGGTGATATGGATTGGCGAAAAAGTACTGAACCGATTTTCTTCAAATTTTTTTTTTAATGTTCGTAATGAATTTTATTGGTACTTGAACGATCGTTTTTTCATGTAAAAATTTTTATTTCGCCGAAATAGATAGTTTTGTAAGAATTTTTGCGTCCAAAAACGTCATTTTTTGCATTAAACGTTCCCGTATGCACAAAAAAAAAAATTTTAAAAACGTTCGTTCAAGTACAGGATACTACTTTAAACTAATGAAATATTTTTATTTTTTCGGTATCAGTTGACCCATTCGTCCTGGGCAATTATCACCGCAAGGCTCTTTAAACAAAAGGCGTTTAAGGGAAACAGCCACACCTTAAAAATAAAAAAATATTTTTTCAAAAAATTTTGCATAAACATTGTCAACAATCTAAACTTTCAGAAAATATAATCATTCATTTAATAAAAACAATAGTTACATACATAAAAAAATTCAAACTTTCCTATTTTTTTCGACAAAAAAAGGTATATACCCCCTTAATTTCTGTACAATTTCTGTTTTTAATCAGGTTATTGTTTTAAAGTTTGGGAAAAATTGTACTAATCTTTATAGCCGTTATCATTTGATAAAGTTGTGCTTTGACGATTGTGAGGAAAGAGAATATTAAAATAACTAAATTGTAATTCACAAATTTTCATGTCGTTACCTGGCGTTTTTCACGATAATACAAGCAGGCCTTACAAACTTGGTAAGCCCTACCCCATATTTACGTTAATTTTCGGGTTCAAGCATAAAATCAAGCAGCTTTATAGTTTGGTGGGCACAATCAATATAATTTAACAATATTTCTGCCAAATAATGAATTTATATAACAAATCTTTGACAAAACTTCACAGTACCAAATTAACTTCTTAATGAGCCAAAAACACTTTGCCGTATTGACTGGCCAGGCTATTTTTCCCAAGCATACCAATCATATTTCATTTTCATTCTCGCTTTATTGCCAAACCATCAATGAGGCAATGTTCAAGGGACTGGGCAATTGGCAGACACGAGAAATTATAATTACAATTTGGCACCGTATACCCGCTACGGCCAGGACTAATTAGTCTCCTGAGCGTGTTCTCTGATTCCCGATCTCTGATTATTGTAAATCTCTGGTCACGCACAAACGAAACAATTCATAAATTTAATTTTTGTGCGAGAGTTGTGGTGCAAATAGGAGGGACGGATGGATAAATGGATGGATGGGGTGGATATGGACGCGGTTTGGAACTGGGACTCGGACGAGAGCAGTCGATGCTAGATTCGCCACTTGACACGTCGCAGCCAGCGAATTCCCACAATAAACATTTGCACCGGCAAGCGGCAAGCGCCAAGCGTCAAGGATGATGATGATAATGTTGATGACGATGTATTTGCTGCCAGGCGCCCACAACACCCCACCGACTGCTGATTATGATGATGATGATGACGACGACGACGATGTGGGTAATGACGCTGATGACGACACACCGCTGGGAATTATTTGTATATGCAGTCATGTAGCATCGATTAATCATTTTATTATTATTGCCATTCGTTGGCGTTCCCACAGCTCGTGATCCTCATACATACGAGGTTTGAAAAGTCCGGAATCCGGATTGCTAGGTGCGAATGGCAGACTGACGAAATTGGCAATGTTGTTCATAATCGCATCAGGGAAACTGTGCTCAACTGATGCGTTCACAAATTAGGCGAGATTCGTTTGTTCAGAGATGTTCATTATTAGGGCAACGACTTGCCATGGTTTTTTAAATGTCTGCTGAATTAGATTATTTTGGGGGGACAATGGTCCTTGCCAAAGTAACACCGATTTGTAGGGATTGGTTGCATTGCAATGCATAAATAAGAAATGTCCCAGAAACATATTTAATAACGTTACCCAGCATCAAGTATCAAATTCCATCACATCTTTTTAAATATTCTTCATGTTTTATAACACTTTTACGAAAGAAAACGTACGATTTTGATATGGCAGCACAGTTGGATTTACAACCAGCTTAGCGGTGTTTCAGAAAGGGTTACTTAAGAAATATGGTTTTAATGCAGAATCAAATAAAGGTTTATATTGATGGAGTGAATCAACAATTTATGAACTTTAAAATTAGCTAGCAAAGGTATATTGTGTCTCTGGTTTATATATATTTGGTTATTTTACACTAGTAACTTAAACATCATATACATTATGCTGGGGTTACAAAAATTCATTTTAAAAAGAAAATGTTAGGTTCACAGTTGAAAATGGTACAATTAATATCCCTGTTTCGAGTCCAGGCTGATAATTTTCTTAATCGAGGGTGTGGCAACTCTAAGTCATGACGTAGAATGGCAAAAGAGGCATACTGTCACACGAAAACCCGGACAGCCAAAAATAATCGAGCCCAAGCAAGCTCTAGCTTTATAGATCCCGAAACGAATCGAATCCCCAGGAAGTGAGCGATGTACGCAGCCGTGAAGCCCCTCTCCAATTACTTGCGCCTCAAGACGGTGCGCATATACGACCCGATTTTCACGCTGCACTCGAAGTGCACCATCGTTATCCTGCTGACGTGCACCTTCTTGCTGTCGGCGAAGCAGTACTTCGGGGAGCCGATCCTTTGCATCAGCTCCGAGAAGCACACGGAGTACGTGCAGTCCTACTGCTGGACCATGGGCACCTACATCCTGCCCGCCGAGGGCGAAAAGGGGAGCTCCAGCAGCTGGGACTTCGCCTTCTACTCGTCCTCGGCCGAGTCCTTCAACCTGAGCAGCCTTCGCGCCCTGGTGGCTCATAACGAGCAGTACGCCCGGGTCATCTCGATCGCCGAGGGCGTAGGGCCCGAAACGCGCGGCGTCACCAAGAGGCTGTATCTGCGCTACTACCAGTGGGTCTTCATGATTCTGCTCTTCCAGTCCCTGCTCTTTTACTTCCCCTCGTTTCTGTGGAAGGTGTGGGAGGGGCAGCGCATGGAGCAGCTGTGCTGCGAGGTCGGCGACGCCCTCATCCTAGAGGCCACCTACCATACCCGCCTCCAGATGCTCACCAAGTACTTCCGCGCCCACTTCGCCCCAATCCACTGCTGCTACTCGATCAAGTACGCCTTCTGCGAGCTGCTTAATCTCCTCATCAGCGTGAGTTAACAGTCTTTTAATGCGATTCACTCAGTACCAGTTGGACTGAGAATAAACAGGGCGGGGGACCAAATTTAACTGTTATTTATTATACCCGTTACTCGTAGAGTAAAAGGGTATATTGTATTCGTGCAAAAGTATGTAACAGCTAGAAGGAAGCGTTTCCGACCCTATAAAGTATATATATTCTTGATCAGGGTCACTAGCCGAGTCGATATAGCCATGTCCGTCTGTCCGTCTGTCTGTCCGTCTGTCTGTCCGTATGAACGCTGAGATCTCGGAAACTATAAAAGCTAGAAGATTGGCATTTTGCATGCAGATTCTAGGAGTTCCTACGCAGCGCAAGTTTGTTTCAAAAAGGTGCCACACCCCCTTTAACGCCCACAATCGCTTATATACGATTTTAAAAATTTAAATATTTCGGAAAAGTAAAACTGCAGTTTTATTGTGTTTATCAATACCTATCGAAATGTTGAAGAAATTTTTCAAATCGGACCATTCGTTAAAAAGTTATGCGTGATCAAAGTTTCTATCTCCATCTCCCTCGCACTCCCTTAACCTGAGTAACGGGTATCTGATAGTCGGGGCACCCGACTATAGCGTTCTCTCTTGTTTTTTTTTCTGGAAAGAAGATTTTTGATGTGAATAATTTTATCATTATTAGTTTAAGACTTTATTTTTCATTTAAACATGCAAAATAATTGTTATTTTTCGAATGCTAAACTTACTCTCTGTGTTGAATTTGAAACATTTAAAGTAAATTATGTTAAAAAGTAAAACTTACTCCTTACCCTTGCAACTATTACAAAAATTTAATATTCTGTATTTTGATCTTTATGTGTATAAGCTTAAAAATGAAGCTATGACGATTATCCGATAAATTGGCCGATTCTTCCAATAGCAGTTTCATGATATATTCGAAAATTTTTTATAAAATTAAACACGTAATACTATATCTCGACATATATATGTGTATGCTAAAGAACAACTATAGCTATAGTTTGTTTTCATTTATTTTTCGATTACTCTTTTGGGACCTGTATGATCTATTCTTTCGACCCGGATCGTATCGACTTAAATACTATCTGTAACAAAAAGAAGACTTTTGGAAAAGTTTCATCCAGATAGCTCCAAAAGGATGGACAGACGGACGGACAAACGAACTGACGGACAGACGAACGGACATGGCTAGATCGACTCTTCTAGTGGAGTTACATATACTTTATGCTGTTGGAAATGGTTCCTTCACTGCGTTGCAATCTTTTGACAAAAATGCAAGCGTATAATAAACAAGAAAGGAAAGCTAACTTCGGGCGGAGCCGAAGTTGATATACCCTTGCAGAATATTCTGTAAATTGCAATATTGGTTGGCCAAAAATAAAACCAATAAAAAATCGCAACTTCATAACTTTAAAAACACCAAAGTTATGGCATTTCCAATGGCAGCTATAGGATATAGTCGGCTGATCCTTATGAAATTTGGTAGGTCGAATTGATTGGCCAAAAATAAAACCCATAAAAAATCCTAACTTCCTAACTTTACAAACACCAAAGTTATGGCATTTCCGATTAACCAGTTATATCGCGGCTATAGGATATAGTAGGCCGATCCTTATGAAATTTGGTAGGTCGGATTGATTGGCCAAAAATAAAACCCATAGAAAATCCTAACTTCCTAACTTTAAAACAAGAGAGAACGCTATAGTCGGGTGCCCCGACGAGGGGGCGTGGTACCTTTTTGAAACAAACTTGCGCTGCGTAGGAACTCCTAGAATCTGCATGCAAAATGCCAATCTTCTAGCTTTTATAGTTTCCGAGATCTCAGCGTTCATACGAACGGACAGACAGACGGACAGACGGACATGGCTAGATCGACTCGGCTAGTGATCCTGAACAAGAATATATATACTTTATAGGGTCGGAAACGCTTCCTTCTAGCTGTTACATACTTTTGCACGAATACAATATACCCTTTTACTCTACGAGTAACGGGTATAAACACCAAAGTTATGGCATTTCCGGTCGTTCTGTTATATGACAACTATAAGATATAGTCGCATGATCCGGCTCGTTCCGACTTATATACTACCTGCAATAGAAAGACAACTTTTGGGAAAGTTTCAAGCAGATAGCTTTAAAACTGAGGAACTAGTTTGCGTAGAAACGGACAGACGGACGGACATGGCTAGATCGACTCTCCTGGTGATGCTGATCAAGAATATATATACTTTATAGGGTCGGAAATGTCTCCTTCACTGCCTTGCAAACGTTTGACTGAAATTATAATACCCTCTGCGAGGATATAAAAATAACCTTGCATTGTAGATATTCGGTGTGTGATTAAAATCAAAACTATTGAACCATTTCAACCCATGTCCCCAAGGGACATAAAGAAAAATCCGTGTTTTCGGGCTTAACTAACATTTATTACTCGCGATGATCCTTTATACAATAAATAGGGCAATGGAATTTGTGGTACTCTCACAGAATATTGCAAGATAGGTGGAAAGGCAATCAAATCAAATACTTTTATAATGACACTTGCTAAATATAAAGTCAACATTAAAATGTTAAAATCTTCCCCTCCCGATTTAGATTCTTAACTTCTGGCTGATGGACGTGGTGTTCAATGGGTTCTGGCACAAGTACATTCACGCCCTGGCCGCCATACCGGTGTACGATTGGAACCTGTGGAACCTTATGACGTCGCGTGTGTTTCCCAAGGTTGCCAAGTGCGAGATGTTTGTTTACGGGCCGAGCGGTACTCCGAATGTCCTGGACATCCTGTGCGTTCTGCCGCTAAACATTCTGAACGAGAAGATCTTCGCGGTGCTGTACGTGTGGTTCCTGTTCATCGCGATGCTGGCGGCCATCAATATCTGCTACCGGCTTCTGCTTTTCTGCTGCGCGGAGTTACGGCTCCAGCTGCTGCGCACCCACCTGCGCGGCATGCCCAAGGCGCATGTTCGCGAGGTCCTTGCCAATGCAGGATACGGAGATTGGTTTGTGCTCATGTGCGTAAGCATCAACGTAAATCCCACGCTCTTCCGGGAACTCCTCGAGCAGCTCTACGTCAAGCAAAGGCAGGCACGCTCTATGGACCCGTCCTTGGAGGTCAAACATCCTTCGCAACAACTGTCGCAGGAGCCATCGCACTCCCATCCTAAATTGGAAAGGAGTGCCAGCCGTAATTGCAGCATTGGGTTCGATCCAATGGCCGATCGGCACTCAATTCGCACAGTGAGCAGCCTTCGACTGGAGGCGATGCCCACGGCTCCGACTCTTAATTTAATGGCGCCCAACGACGAGATCATCAGCATGGATCGCTTCTACCACGAGAGCCAGGCCTAGGATCTGGTCTTGATCCATTCCCTTGGTGCCAATCCAAGACACTGTATCTAATTTCTATGATTGTCATATTCCATAAGGGACAAATAAATCAAATGATATTAAACAAAAGGCGATAACACGCTGAATAGTTCACTAACATATAAATTAACTACATATATGTATAACGACGAGATCATGAGGATGGATCGCTTTTACCACGAGTGCAGTCCTAGGAAGTGAACCTTTCAAAACACTCCGAATACCATAAATTGTCAAATAAATTATAGAACATAACTTACGGAACTTTTTTTTTCTAGTTTCATCTATTTATAAAAAGATATAAGGAACTTGTTGAGCTACATATACAATAAGGTGCTAACATCGATTGTATTAATTCTACTAGTTTTGTTCCCTAGTTTCCCTAGCTCAAAATCACTGAGATCTTGTTTATACCATCTCTCAATCCTTCCCCTTTCCATTCTACCCGTTAACTCTGTTCTAAAGCTTTATCAGTTTTGCAAATAAGTGAATTGCATCAGAATGCAAATAAAATGCACTAATCAAAATGACAGCGGGGTGGCCAGCGGGGTAAATACCAAATACCAGCAGGCATAACAAAAACTTTAACAAACTTACAAAAGTTAAACAAGCCGAGTAAAAGAGACGGAGGGGGGAGGTACCGTTCGCTCTCGCTGAGAGATGATGACGATGATTGCAAAACTCTTCTCTTCCGCTGGTTAAGCTTTTGTCTGTCTGCCAACAGGTAAAACTAACAACAACAAATTGCGAGAGGGGTGGACCTGGAGTCAGTGCTGCCAGCTATCGCGGGCAAAATTCAACTCACTAGCTTAAGATACCTGCATAAAACTTGTTAAAAAACTTAAAAAAAAATATTTTAATACATGTTATTCTTAACAACTATGTTATTAGACATTTTGGGAGGAGATTTTTATTTGTATCACTTGACCAAAATTCTTTGTGATAATGGTATTTGTTTTATTAACTTGTTTTCAGAGATATATAATTTGTTGATAGCAAAATGTTAGTGGGGTGTTGATTATAGTTTTAACATAACAAATTTTAGTATATTCACACAGAACAAAGAGCATATAATTAACAAACCTCTACCTCTACCTCTTCCAAACGAGCCAGCTTATATATTGCATAAGTCGATACTTTACATACCTCCTTTTAACTTTACTTTTCCTTTAACTCACTATGGACCCAGCCTAAGCTACATAAAATAGTTGTTTGACGATAGCCTTTTATCCTAAAGGAATTCTTTGAATCTGAATTTTTATACCCTTGCAGAGGGTATTATAATTTTGGTCAAAAGTGTGCAACGCAGTGAAGGAGACATCTCCGACCCTATAAAGTATATATATTCTTGATCAGGATCACCTCCTGAGTTGATATAGCCATGTCCGTCTGTCCGTCTGTCTGTCCGTCTGTCCGTCTGTCTGTTTCTACGCAAACTAGTCTCTCAGTTTTAAAGATATCGAATTGAAACTTTGCACACACCCTTCTTTCCTTTGCACGCAGTATATAAGTCGGAACGGCCGGGATCGGCCGACTATATCCTATAGCTGCCATATAACTGATTGATCGGAAATGCCATTACTTTGGTGTTTGTAAAGTTAGGAAGTTGGGATTTTCTATGGGTCTTATATTTAGCCAATCAATCTGACCTACCAAATAACTGATTAATCGGAAATGCCATAACTTTGGTGTTTGTTAAGTTAGGAAGTTGGAATTTTCTATGGGTTTTATTTTTGGCCAATCGATCCGACCTACCAAATTTCATAAGGATCGGCCGACTATATCTTATAGCTGCCATATAACTGAACGATTGGAAATGCCATAACTTTGGTGTTTTTAAAGTTAGGAAGTTGGGATTTTTGAGTATTAAGAATGCATCATATGAATAATTTTGGAGAATATAATTTACAGAGTATTCTGCAAGGGTATATCAACTTCGGCTCCGCCCGAAGTTAGCTTTCCTTTCTTGTTTATACTAACTTCACATACTTGACTAAATAAATAGAAAGTTAAAATATATGTACATATGTAGGTAAAATCGTTTATAGCTCGAAGTCCATTAAAGATTCGATTGTAGATAAATGAGCCAAAAATAGCCAAAGTTGCAGACACCTGCCTACTATAGCTAACTCTGGCCACCGAATAGTCAAGTGTCAACACTTGCGGGAGCAGGATGAAGGGCAATGGGAAAGGATGAAGAGGCGACGACAACGCAAATGGCGGCAATTACATGCAGCTACAGCATCAACAATAACACAACATCAGCAAAGAGAGAGAGAGAGCAAAAGAAAGACGCGGGCAAAGTCAACATCACATTGTCTGAGGAGGCCAAAAAGAGAGAATGTACGAGGGAGAGAGTTGGCGTGGGTAAAAGCGCAAAATAAACAAAGTTAATTTTAATTAAAAACCGCAGGAAACCGAAAAAACAACAAAATGCTAAATAAAATGGGCGTGAACGAAATGACTCAGCGAAGCCGATGACGATAACGATGACGATGACGCTAAAGGAGTGAGCAGGAAGTCTTACATATGCAACTGCGATAAAAAGGAGAAAAAGAAAGAAAAGAGAAAAAGAAAGAGCGGGATCAGTGTTGACAAAAGAAACTGAAATGAAGGACGAAAAGTAATTTTCGCGTTTCAATTTAATTATTAATGACTCAATATCTTTGGATCATTTATTTGGATCTAGTTGGAGAGTACAATTTGTTGGAGTGGAGTTATAAGCAAAATAAAACAAGAATCCGTTGGCCCGTAATTAATGTTTAAAAATGATTGAATTCGCTTTCCTGAAAATATAAATTGTTGGTGTAACATGTTTTTAGGTGGTTTTATGTGCATATATGCATCGATTTGATAGATCCTTTTGGCATTCTTTTAATTGGTGTTCATTTACTTCTTAAAAGCGCACAAATTTCCTTAGGAAGGGCAATTGTCCTGAAAGATGACGAAATGACAGCACTGACAGGGATAAACAGACCGGCAGAAAAAACATGCCTCCAGCTGAAACCGAACAGCTGAATTGTAGGCTGAAACATAACATATTCCTTTGCTCGTCACACCTCCTCAAAGCCCCACTCACTAACCACCACCCACCGCCCACGCAATCCACAGCCACCAATGGATAACTGTAACTGTAACAAAGACACATGTAAACAATTCCGTTTGTCTTGACGCTGTTCCTGCCTAGTTTTAATTATACCAAGCAAAAACTTTGCCCGAACTTTGCCCACACCGCGCAACCACCCACCACCCCTTCACCAGTCGTCCTAAAAGTTTAAAGTGAGCAACGGTAAACGATTTTTAGCTAACCAAAATCCCCAATCCACATGGAAATTACTCACCCTTTTAAGTTCCGAATGAAACACCACGACAATATTCTGGAGGAGTAACTTATAATACATCGATTGAGATGCCGAAATTAAAGTCTATTAGTGCACTGAACATTTTTTTAAAATTATATTTCCTTTTTTTAATATTTTAATTTAATTTAGTATGATACGGGGCGAATTACTTTAATAAAATGGAAACTGTTAAAACAATATTTAAATTTTTTGAAACAATTTAAAATAAAACTGGAAAAATTAAAAACAAATTATACAGAGTTTAAGGTTTATTTGTGAAACAGCTGATTTATATAACAAAATCTCAAGAAAATACGGTAAACGACAATTATAAATAAAATGAAACCGGGAGATAACTTTTAACTTTGAAGCAAAAGTTTCAAGAATTGTGGTTAAAACAACCAGGAAACTAGATAAGCCGCGATTTAAGAGATCCGAGTTAATCTTACTGCAAATGCTGAAAAGGCAGCCTAAATTCTAGAATCAACCGGATCTACACTAAAATGAGCACAAAAAAACCCCAACTAACAATTTAATCAATTGAACATTTGTCAGCTCTATTTGACAATAAAGACAATAAAGTTTTGGCAGCTCATTTTTAAGAAGATTTATCGAATAAAATTGGAAATTCCAAATTTAGTCTTTCTAATTTAAAAATCTGTCCGGCTTGTTATCTTTTCCTTATTCGCTCCTCCCACAGCTCCAATAAATTATTTGTTAGTAACCTTAATTGTTCGAATGACACCTTATAAATATAAGGGGGGTTTAAAGGAGCGTTTTTATCGCCGTTACTCGTATGTATATTCTTGATCAGGATTACTAGACGAGTCGATCTAGCCATGTATACGGATAATATATATAAAGGGGTCTAAAGGAGCATTTTTATCGCCGTTACTCGTATATATATTCTTGATCAGGATCACTGGACGAGTCGATCTAGCTATGTCGAAAACGTGAAAACTATACGACCTATAGATTTGGGATTTAACATGCAGATTCTAGCTATACCAACGCAGCAAAAAACCACGCCCACTCTAACGCCCAAAAATCGTCTGTACCCGGCTTAGTGATGAATCACAGGCAGTGCCCAGCAAGTGATTCCCCAGTTTAACGACGGGTGGACAATGGCCCTGAAGACCCGCACCTTAGAAGATTCCACGTGTAAATGGTATACAGGTCCGGACCAAGGACGTTTCCCTGCGGGACACCAACACGAATTGAGCGTAGTCCAGGTAGTTTAACCAAGAATGACACAATGAGCTTCCAAAGTCATTCCGGCAAAAGTGGCTTTAGTTTTTAGAATAAGCCTTCGTGCCAAACCCTATCAAATGACTGTCCTACGCCAAGTTAATGGGCTGAGCGGTATTTGTAATTTTTAAAAGCACTCAGAACATTGTTAACTTCTCTGTGCACTTGCTCGATAGCATAATGGCATTTTGAAAGTTTTTCAAAGGCGTTACAACAAAATCCACTCAAAAATCTTGGACAAAGTGGAGCTGGGCTAAGTCTTTGCTACTTATCCGCCAATCGCGTCCATATGATGAGCTTAACTGATAATCAGTCGCTTAATATGATCACGCACCTCATCCTCGTCTACTGGACGCAGAGCATCAGGACGGCCAAAGGGGAACTCCAAGTTAG